TGTAATGTAGCACAACCATGAAGGTCCAACTGCACCACATTAGTGTGCCACTTCCGCAGAATGCGCTGTGCCACGCGATCATTTATAAGGTCCTTCACTGCAGAAAAATCAATCTAACAAAAAAAATAAAATATATTGCTCTAGAAATTACAAAAGGACTCCAACATTTCACCTATACAGTCGTTAACTTTAGTGAAGTTATCTGAAAAACATTCTGGCAGATCAATAGATTGGAGTTATTTCTTAAATAACAGCCACTCCTCATTTACCACCCATATGATATGATATAATATAATAATATAATATTATAATATAATACACTATACCTTGATATATATATATATACATACATACATACATATATACATACATATCTTATCTGTTGGGTGAAGCACCCGATCTACCAAATATAAATCAGTCTGTTCTGCGATTCGCTCCAATCTAGGAGCATGTTTTGCAGGCAGATGTCACATACTGTGAACACTATAAATTCAAAATTTGTGGCTGGCAAAGAGTTAGTGGGAGACTAGTATAGCTATTTCAGGCTCATTAGCCCTCATCAGCTAGTCAGTATCAACCAGTAAGGGGGAACCTGTGGCTCAAAAGGATAATACAGCTGCCTAACATGCAAGCTGCCCAGGTTCGAATCCCTGAAGAGTGTGACTAGCTGATGAGAACAAATGAGCCTGAAATAGCTATACTAGTCTCCCACTAACTCTTTGCCAGCCACAAATTTTGAATATACATACATACATACATACATACAAGATGGGACTAGAAAGGTATGTATTAAAAAAGTGACTTGCAGTCAGTCCTCACATTTACAACCGCCACGGTTCCCCGTGGCCGTTATGATTGCAACTGGGGCACTTGGCGATCGGCACATTATCTATGATAGCTGCAGCCTCCTGGGGGTCCCATGGTCGCCAATTGAGACCCTCCCAGTTTCCAACGAGCAAAGTCAAGGGGCGGGGGGCAGCCAGCTTCACTTAGCAACCAGAGTGAGTTGCTGAACAGCTGGGTGATTCACTTAACAACATTGGCAGAAGAGAGCATCAAATTGGGAGCAAACTGCTTAATAGCCACTTCGTTCAGCAATGGACGTTCCAATCCCAATTGTAAATAGAGGACCATCTGTGCTACCTCTTTAGAATGACATCTTAATTTAAAAAAAAAAATTCATTTCTTCAAATCCCAGTGGATTTTTTTTTTTAGAAAAATATTATTAAAATTTGGTTTCAAGCAACTCTACTTACATTACTCCATACCATAACCATTTGTGTCATGGCCTTCCAGGTTTGGCAGACTTGGGCACACCTGGCCAGGTCAACTAGGTTTAAATACCGGAAAACCTAAATTCGAAACAAAGAAGAATATTAACCTGCAAAGGATGAAACAACAATATTTGTCTCTAAAACACTTGCTAGCTTCAAAGGTTATATTTAAGGAAAAGAGCAGTTTTCCATAGTAATTTTTAAAAAAAACGTTTTTCCAAGTGGCTCTTGGTACAATTAGGGAATTGTATTAGGGTGCCATAAAAGGATTAGCTGGACTAATAAAAGAAACTACTCTGCTTTATTTTGTTTCTATACAGGTAATCCTAGATTTACAGCACCCACAACTTCTGGTGGCAAGCTGTTCCACTGATTAATTGTTCTCACTGTCAGGAAATGTCTCCTTAATTCTAGGTTGCTTCTCTCCTTGGTTAGTTTCCATCCGTTGCTTCTTGTCCTGCCTTCAGGCGCTTTGGAGAATAGCTTGACTCCCTCTTCTTTGGGGCAGCCCCTGAGATACTGGAAGACTGCTATCATGTCCCCCCTGGTCCTTCTCTTCATTAAACTAGACCTACCCAATTCCAGCAACTGTCCCTTATATGATTTAGCCTCCAGTCCCCTAATCATCTTTGTTGCTCTTCTCTGCCCTCTTTCTAGAGTCTCAACATCTTTTTTACATCGTGGTGACCAAAACTGGATGCAGGTATTCCAGGTGTGGCCTTACCAAGGCCTTATAAAGTGGCATTAACACTTCACGTGAACTTTATTATAATTAACAAGCAAATGACCTGGGCTAATGGTTGCATAGGCATCTTTGTAAAATATTCTCTGCCTGATTTCACATGGAACGCTGGTAATTCTTCAAACAGATTCTTAGTCAGGGCAGAGGAGCGTCGTCTGTCCGAATGTCGCCGTTCGCGGGCTTCAGGTTGAACAAAACAAAATTCCTCGGCTTCCAACACAGGCTGCAAAATATAGAGGTAGAGAATAGGACTCAAGTATTGATTTTTTTTCCCCTATTTGTACTCCATTTAATCCATTAAACTGCTTAATTGGTAGCCGTTCACTTTGGGGATTCAAGATATCGAACAGATTTTTAAAATGAATTTATATCAATGCTTTGATATGGGGGGGGGGAAAGCACAGCACCAACTCAAATATGCTTACCTCAAAAGATTTTTTAGGCTTTTTGCTTACAATAAGACATTTTCGCCAGGCCTTAAACACCACTTTCTTCAAAACTTTGTCAAAGATTTTTTCTAGACATTTCACTGCCCCTAGGGGGAAACAATTTGAAAAACACAGATCATTTTTTTAAAAAATAAATAAATAAATTGACATTACCGTTTAGTTCAGATAAAGAAGATGGTTTAATAAGTAAATTTACTGGTCTTTTAACTCCGTTTCTCCCTAAAAAAAATAAAATAAAAAGGAAATGTTTTTCGTTCTCATCTGACTTGGGTTAAATCAAAATGTAAAATCATCGTTCCGCCCAAGATTTTGTTAGCTCTGGCGAACCAGGAACCGCCAAAGAAGCTAACAGTAAAAAGCCTGATCAAAAAAGCTCCAAGACCATTCCTATCAACACACACCACTAGAATATAAATTGAGAGCAAACCTCTTACTAGCACTGATGATGTTACCTAGTTTGGTAATGAAACGTCTGCGAGAAAACAACCAAGCTCAGAGAACACCAAGGACCCCAGAGTCATCGTCGTCGTCATCGTCCTCCTCCTCCTCCTCCTCCTCCTCCTCCTCCCTGCAAACCCCATTCCTTCTAGTACTGATGATGTTACCTAGTTGGGTAATGAAATGTCTGCAAGAAAACCACCAAGTTCAGAGAACACCAAGGACCCCCCATTTCAACCCTGAGCTACAAATATTTTCCTTTATCGATTGAGAATACTAGGAGTTGAAGTCCACAATTCTTAAAGCTGTCAAGGTTGGGCAATTCTGCTGTAGAAGTTCTTATCACCTCTTTTTAGCTAGTAAAAACCTCAGGGTCAACAAAACTGCGGAACAAACTTGAGAAGAGTTTAGTTCAAATTGTAGACACGTAATCTATGAACTGGGCAGAGTAGACTACATCAGCAGTTCAAAATCCAGCTTTAGGATGGGAGAAAATACGATTCTGTTCTTGAATTCGTAAACATTTCGTTGTTTAAATATTTAGGAAGAGCATTTTCTTAAACAACATCAGTAACAACCATATTTAGTTAATTTAGTATATTGTGAATCCAGCCCTCCGACAGAATTGTGTGTGTTTTATTGAAGGCAGATCTATCAAGCAACAGAGCAGATACAAATGCATTTTTCACCGGCTAAAAAGAGCTTTCCCTCTGTTTTTAACTAGCATTGCGTTTTTTTCTGCCGTTAAGACCAAAAATAGCATTTTTATTTTTAACAGTAAATACAATCGTGCACTAGCAATATTGCACATAATTGCAAGCCATACTTTAGATTTACATGTAATCCTCGACTTAGTGACTGTTTGCTTAGTGACTGTTCGAAGTTACAGGGGCACTGGAAAAAGTGACTTATGACAATTTTGCACACTTACAGCCAGTGGTGGGATTCAAATATGTGAACAATCGGTTCTCTGTATGGATGCCGCTTTCGGAGGTCCGTTCTGGGCCTGGGCAACAAAAAATTAGCTACCGGTTCTATTGAAGTGGTGCGAACCAGCTGAATCCCACCACTATATCTACCTGCCTGCCTGCCTGCCTGCCTGCCTGCCTGCCTATCTATCTATCTATCTATCTATCTATCTATCTATCTATCTATCTATCTATCGTCTGTCTGTCTGTCTGTCTGTCTGTCTGTCTGTCTGTCTGTCTGTCTGTCTGTCTGTCTGTCTGTCTGTCTGTCTGTCTATCTATCTATCTATCTATCCATCCATCCATCCATCCATCCATCCATCCATCCATCCATCCATCCATCCATCCAACCTACCTACCTACCTACCTACCTACCTACCTACCTACCTACCTACCTATATATCATCTATCTGTCTGTCTATCTATTTGCCTGCCTGCCTGCCTGCCTGCCTGCCTGCCTGCCTGCCTATCCATCCATCCATCCATCCATCCAGTGGTGGGATTCAAATATGTGAACAACCGGTTCTCTGTGTGGATGCCACTTCCAGACGTCCGTTTTGGGCCTGGGCAACAAAAAATTAGCTACCAGTTCTGCCAAAGGGGTGAGAACCGGTTGAATCCCATCACTGCTTACAACCATTAAGGCATCCTTGCGGTCATGTGATCAAAATTCGGATGCTTGGCAACTGACTCATATTTATGACGGCGGCCATGTCCCAGAGTCACGTGATCTGGCAGGCAGAGAGTCAATGGGGAAGCCAGATTCAGTTAACGACTGTCTTACTAACTTAAACACCTGCAGGGATCCACTGAACAACCGCGGTAAGGAAGGTCGTTAAAATGGGGCAAAGTTCAATTAGGCCACGTCTCGCTTAGCCACGGAAATTTTGGGCTCAGTTGTGACCGTAAGTCGAGGACCCCCTGTGAGGAAATATCGGTGATACCCGTTGTCTACTGATGGTTATTGACGCAACATTCTTACGTTTGTGCACTTCCTTCTGGGAATTCATCCATTCGTGCCACTTCCTCATGGCTAATTTTAGGAGTCTGCAGTCGTAATAGCGTCTTGCCGCCGCCAATTTTTTCTGCAGGAGTTCTTCTGCCGCTTTCTTGTCTGCGCAATATTGGATCCAGGAGCTGCCATAGCGACAATAAACCCCGCGTTAATTTTTTTTTTTAACCGGTGTTTTCTTTGAAACATAAAGTTGCAACCCAATAAGCGTTTCATTGAACCACATTAAAATAGTTTACATCATTACTATTATTATTATTATTATTATTATTATTATTATTATTATTATTGATCATCGCACAATCAGCCAGATGTTCAGACTGGATTTGGCATTTTTGTGTACCTATCGAGTCCTTCCCAAGGACCTGGGATAGGCAGATGTGGATGTTTGATGGTATTACAGATCTCGTTGCAGGATGGAAGCGGTTCCTAGCAAGGCCGCCTTTTGCAATTGACTAATGGCGAATTTGTCAATGCCCATGATGGTGTTCAAATGGTGCTCCAGTTGTTTTGGGATTGCACCCAAGGAGCCTATTACTATTGGTACTACCCTTGCTTGCTTTTGCCACAGTCTTTCTATTTCTATTTGTAGGTCTTTATATTTTGTTATCTTCTCCAGTTCTTTCTCGTCTATTCAGCTGTCTCCAGGCACTGCCACGTCCACTATCCAGACTTTTTTGTCTTTCTTATCGACAATTGTTAAGTCCGGGGTGTTATGTTGCAGGTGCTTGTCTGTTTGAATTCTGAAGTCCCAGAGCAGTTTAATTTTATCATTTTCTATGACTTTCTCTATTTTATGATCCCACCAGTTCTTGCTTACAGGCAAATGATATTTTTTGCAGATCTTCCAATGCACCATTGTTGCTACTTTGTCGTCGTCGTCATCATAATCATCATCATCATCATCATCATTATTATTATTATTATTATTATTATTATTATTATTATTATTATTATTATTATTATTATTATTATTATTATTATTATTATTAAAATCAAAATACAGGTAGTCCTCGATGCTGCAAAGGCCGTAAGTATGAAAACGGTCGTAAGTCACTTTTTTCACTGCCATTGTAACTTTAAATGGTCACTAAATGAATTATAAAGTCGAGGACTAGCTATATTCTAAGAGGAAGCGATACTGCTGATTTGTGATTATTCAACTTTCATCAACCTTGGGAGAAGAGAGGGCAGAGAGGTTCCCACCCACATCTGTTGGGAGAAAACTTTGCATCCTATGTTAGAGGGAAAGTTATCTGTAGGAAAAATCACAAAAAGTCAAGCTGGTGACCCCAACCGCATTTTTGTTTGAACGGGTACTTTGCACAAAGAGCCAGAATTTTGATAGGACTATCACAGTTGCCATCGAGACTTTTTTTTTTATCTCCACTGTGGATGCTCCTGGTTGTATGTGTGAAAGAGGTCTGCCATGTTTGTGTTGTTTTAGTGGTCACTTCAATAAACTAATCCTTAAAGAATAGAGTCTGTGGTGATTTCTGCTAGAATGAAATCAAGAGGCTTTATTTTGCTTTATTTTGCTTTTTATTTTGCTTTATTTTGCTTTTTATTTTGTTTTAGTTTGCTCAACCTATAGCTACCAAGTCAGAACTGAACATTAATTCTGTTTACTGGAGCAGCCTGGCATGCAAAGTTATAAATTTATTACCTATCAGAAGAAAGTAGAAATGTTATTAAGAAATAACAACAACAACAACAACAACAACAACAACAACAACAATAATAATAATAATAATAATAATAATAATAATAAAGTTGGAAGGGACCTTGGAGGTCATCGAGTCCAACCCCCTGCCCAGGCAGGAACCCTACACCATTTCAGACAAACGGCTGTCCAGTCTCTTCTTAAAAACTTCCAGTGTTGGAGCATTCACAATTTCTGGAGGCAGGTTGTTCCATTGGTTAATTGTTCTAACTGTCAGGAAGTTTCTCCTTAGTTCTAGGTTGCTTCTCTCCTTGATTAGTTTCCATCCCCGTTGCTTCTTGTCCGGCCTTCAGGCGCCTTGGAGAATAGCCTGACTCCCTCTTCTTTGGGGCAGCCCCTGAGATATTGGAACACTGCTATCATGTCCCCCCTCATCCTTCTCTTCGTTAAACTAGACATACCCAATTCCAGCAACCGTTCCTTATATGTTTATTCTATACTTACTCAAAGTACTTTCTCTTTAAATTAGTGCTATAACAGTCCCACGCTTTATCACATAACTCTGTGGTCATCTGAAAAGTAAATACAAATAGAAAACTTACATTAAAATTGGAAAGAGAGACAGGGATAGTCAAGATACAGATGAATAAAACAGGCTGATATTCTTCGTGTTATTCACTGAAAAATCATTGTAAAATAACTTTTCTCGCCTCGATCATTCCAGGATTTTACCGCCAAGAATAACAATTCCACTTCCAGTTAGTACAGTAATTTAATGGAATGAATCAAACAAATAACAGAGAGCGGATTTGATTGACTGAAATAACCTGGAGTGGATTAAAAGGAAATATATCCATACTCTTAATTTTGCTCACTAGGGGTGGAAAATAATCACCCCAAGCTAAAAAAAAAAAAAAAAAAGAGTAGGAATGAGAATAAGTGTGTTATGGAAATTGAAATTCAGTCTTTACGGATAGTCCTCAACTTACAAGCGCCCGTTTAGTGACTGTTTGAAATTACAACGGTACTGAAAAAAGTGACTTATGACTGTTTTTCACTCTTACAATCATTGCAGCATGCCCGCGGTCATGTGATCAAAATTCAGAGGCTTGGCATCTGACATGTACCTTTTTTATTAAACTAGACTAGACATACCCAATTCCTGCAACCGTTCTTCGTATATTTTAGCCTCCAGCCCCCTGATCATCTTCGTTGCTCTTCTCTGCACTCTTTCTAGAGTATCAACATCTTTTTTTACATCGTGGTGACCAAAACTGGATGCCGTATTCCACGTATGGCCTTACCAAGGCCTTGTAAAGTGGCATTAACACTTCATATGACCTCTTTCCTTCATATATATATATATACTTTTCAAATGAATCCTAAAGAGCCCTCCGGGCCAAAAACACTACAATTAAAGGATTTCTTTTTCCCTGTTTCACTTATTTTTCTACATCGTATTGTAGAAATAAATAAGTGGAATTCTATTTATTTATTTAAGCACATGTATACATACATAATGCAGAGCTCGGAGTAAGCCAGCCTGAGGCAGTTACATTATTTTTATATCTGAGTTTGATGGAATTGAACTTAAGTGTGTTTAGGTTATAAAGGAATAAGGATTAAGGAATATTCTTTCCCACGACTCTTGGTTAAAAATGGATTATGAATAAATATAAAACAAAATTCTTTCCAGGCTATCTTTGGAGAAAGATATTATTCTAAATATTTTTACAGAGATTTGTTAATAATTACCAGCTGGTCATCATCAAGGCCTAAAAGTGTGTGTAAATATGTCTCCGAAAGGACCCGTAGCTTTAGACTCAACTCTGGATCGATACACATGTTCCTAAGCAAAATAAAAAAATAAAAAATACATATAATACATGTTAGTTTTTTAAAAACCAAATGATTACAGCACAGCTTGAGCTAGTTTTTAAAACCATGTTTGAAATCATTATTTCTTGTTGCTGTAGGTTAGTTTCCATCTGTTGCTTTGGAGAATAGCTTGACCTCTTCTTTTCTGAGACAGCCCCTCAAATATTGGAAGACTTCTTGAATAAACAACAGTTTATTATTCATATTAGTGTATGTCCAATGAATGCTAATATTATAAAGATGTATATCACTGCACTGAAAAGTTTAATGCCCCATAACAATAAAAAAGTTTGCATCTTTCAATTACGGTAACTCCTGAACCAGCTATTGTGATCTTTGCACCAGGTAAAGTTAAAAAAAATTTTTGGCAAATGTGAATGCTTACTAGATTCAAAATAAAAAAACAGTATGACCTGTGCAGCATGAAAATTTGAAAATCCTTGTATCAGTTTTTTTTGTACCACTGATTTTAATATCTACATTTAGCAATTCACATTTGACTCTGGTTCCCAAGAACTGAAAAAAAAATTATTTAGATTTTCCTATTTCAGTTCTGAAGACCAATGACTAACATGAAACAATATTAATTCAGATTATTTAGACATCTTACTAATAGACATTCAGAATATTTATTGGCTGTTGACATTTTCTATAGTATTACTGAGCTAATAGCTCATTTATTAGTTTACATTGTTCCAGTCAAACTAGTTTATAAAAATTAATATTTCCCCATATTGATTGCAAATTTGTTACCAATATTTTTAAGCCACGCAAACCTCTTATACATACCATATAATACCATATAAACCTTTTTCCATAATTTCTTTAATTTTTTCTTCTAAAAATCTGAGTGGATCTTCCGGACACATAACTAATAAACCACCTAACAAGGCCTGCAAAAAATCAAGAATAAGAGTGTTGATTAATAAAATACATATTTAACAAGAGAGTAAAGTTGTTTTTAGATGCTAGTCCTTTTTTGTTAGAATATTTTATATTTTCGTAAAAACAATTCGACATTTTATTTTTTATTTTACCTCAAGATTTATTCCCGTTCGTTGCTGAGTTTATATCACAACAGGGATTTTAGTTCATGACATTTTAAGCCATCATAATAAATTTGCAAATATATTAGAGGCTACCAGCGTGCTGGATTGTTACAGTACTACTGAGACTATAAGCATTGTGTAATTGTCTTTTCTTAAGAGTATTAACAAAGATTATAATTGTAAAGGCTAGGAAACTGAGGTATTATCTAATCGTACAAGTGTCAAAATATTTTACTCAGAATAGTTTTATTTTCTTTCTTAATTATTGTTTTTAATTGGTTTATTATAATACAGGTAGTCCTTGACTTATGACTGCAATTGAGCCCAAAATTTCTGTTGTTATGTGAGACGTTTGTTAAGTGAGTTTTGCTCCATTTTACGACCTTTTCGATTGTTAAGTGAATCACTGCGGTCAGTAACCCGGTTGTTAAGTGAATCTGGCTTCCCCATTGACTTTGCTTGTCAGAAGGCCGCAAAAGGGGATCACGTGACCTCGGGACAGTGCAACCGTCAGAAGGACATGCCAGTTGCCAAGTGTCTGAATTTTGATCACATGATCATGGGAAGGCTACAAAGGTCGTAACTGTGAAAAACAGTCATAAGCCACTTTTTTCAGTGCCGTCGTTAACTTTGAACGGTCACTAAATGGAATGTTGTAAGTCAAGGACTACCCAGGCCCCAAATGGCCTTGTTCCTCCCTTTATTTGCCCAATGAACTAAAATTGAAAGAAATATATATATACATATATATATATTATTATTTATTACATTTATATCCCGCCCTTCTCCTTGCGGACTCAGGGCGGCATATATATGTTGTTTTTCTTGTAGATTTTCTGGGGGGAAAAGGAGCTTTTCATTTTTTCACTTTAACTCTTAACGATATCACAACACCTAAAAGGCACAGTTGTTTAAACAAAAACCATCAATTTAATTACATTACTTGACAGGCACAACGACATGTCGTTCCTATGTCAATTTCACTTATAAGCACAGCCGCAAAAAATTAATCATCCCGGTCAAATAGAACGGTAAAAACACCGTTCAAGAAAGAATCGTTTTTAAGTTCCCATTGATCTCAATCGCAACGAAGTGCATGTTCTGAGTGAAATGAGGAAATCCAAGGCAAGCAAGCTTAGAAATACAAATACTTCTTAAATATTAATTTACACAGATAAGATGCTTTAAGATGGCCAACGGCGCCCTCTACTGGACCGGATCTTAATTTTTTTCCTTTTTTTGTAATCGAAACGCCGTTTCTCTTGACATGAGATAAATGTTTCCCCCGTCCAGTTGGGTCTGACTCTGTGGTGCTCATCTCCATTTCTTAACCAAAAGAGCCATCATTTGTCCGAAAACAACCCCGGTAGTCGTGTGGCTCGCGTGACGATATGCCGAGGCACACGGAAACGGTGTTACCTTCCCACCGAAGTGGTACCTATTTATCTACTCGCGTTTGCGTGCTTTCGAACTGCTAGACGAGCAGGAGCTGAGACAAGGGACGGGAGCTCACCCCGTCTCGCAGCGTTGGGGTCTCAAACCCGGGCTGTCAGCTCTCGCCGTCTTTAACCACTGAGACATCGTGTGTCTCCCCCCCTTTTGCCTGACGTCTTAATGGCTTACTGGAAATCTCCTTGAATAAAAGGGTGGGATAGCAAACAAACAAACAAATTATCTTGTTTTAAGGTATTTTGGGGGGTTTTTTCCATTAAATTCCACTCCGATTAGGAAACTGGGCCATAAATCTGCAATTGCCACTGACTGGCCAAATATCTTGCTTCATTCATCACTACTAATCATCATCTCGAGCCAGTTAGCAAATTAATAACAGCAGGGCGTGTTTCGTATTGTTTATCGTTTCCTTGCCGTACATTCATTGTGCGTTTTTCATCCTTCTGATAAATGTCGTAGGACAAGCTCTCCAAATTTTTATCATGAGAATCCCTGAAATCTTTTTCAGATACTTTAGCCCAAACTGCAGGTGGTTCCCTCGACTTAATGGCCACGACTTGAGCCCAAAATTTCTGTCGCTAAGTGAGACACATCTTAAGCGACTCTTGCCCTGTTTTACAACCTGTCTTGCAGCAGTTGTTAAGTCAATCACTACAGTTAAGTTAGCAAACTTGTTAAGTGAAACTGGCTTTTTTCCCCATTGACTTCGATTGTCAGAAGGTCGCCAAAGGGGATCACGTCACCCCCGGGGGCGCTGCGACCGTCATAAATACGACTCAGTTGCCAAGCGTGGGAATTTTGATCACGTGACCCTGGAGGTGCTGCAAAGGTCACGGTGTCAGTCATCAGTCACTTTTTTCAGTGCCATTGCAACTTTGAACGGTCACTAAACGAACTGCTGTAAGAGTGGGCGCTCTGGACAGCCATTTGTCTGAGATGGGATAGGTTCTCCTGCTTGAGCAGGGGGCTGGACTAGAAGACCTCCAAGGTCCCTTCCAGCTCTACTCTATTCTATATTCTATTCTATTCTATTCTATTCTGTATTTCTATTTTATTCTATTCTATCCTATCCTATTCTACATTCCTCTATTCTATTCTATTCTATTCTATATTCTATTCTATTCTATTCTATTCTATTCTATTCTATTCTATTCTGTATTTCTATTTTATTCTATTCTATTCTATTCTATTCTATTCTGTATTTCTATTCTATTCTATTCTATTCTGTATTTCTATTCTATTCTATTCTGTATTTCTATTCTGTTCTACTCTATTCTATTCTACTCTACTCTATTCTATTCTATTCTACTCTACTCTATTCTATATTTCTATTCTATTCTATTCTATTCTATTCTAATATGTTTTGCACTAATTTAAGAACTGCAGTGATTCACAACTTTGGCAAGAAAGCTCATAAAATGGAGAAAAACTCAGTTCACAAGTGTCTCACTTAGCAGCAGCAGCAGCAGCAGCAGCAGCAGCAGCAGCAGCAGCAGCAGCAGCAGCAGCAGCAGCAGAAGAAGAAGAAGAAGAAGAAGAAGAAGAAGAAGAAGAAGAAGAAGAAGAAGAAGAAGAAGAAGAAGAAGAAGAAGAGAATAGAAATACAGAATAGAATAGAATAGAATAGAATAGGAATCTGGAAGGGACCTTGGAGGTCATCTAGTCCAACCCCCTGCTCAGGCAGGGAACCCTACACCATTTCAGACAAATGGCTGTCCAGTCTCTTCATAAAAACTACGAGTAGAGGCATTGATTGGGAAGGAATTTGAAAAGCTAAAGCTGGAAAAACACATTTTAAAAGGGGGCTCCCGAAACGATGACACAAAAACTGCTTATTTAAAAAATAAAGTAAAATATAATAAGTGTTTGCTTTAGGCAAAACTCCAAGATACCCTGGGTCCCTTTTCCAGTACTGTGCACAGGTGAAGATATTTTCTATCTAAAGCCTGTTATTTTATTTATTTTGGAAAATCCTAAGACAAATAGGAAAGACAAAACTCTTCTTTTGAAAATGATAAATACTGTTGGGTGTTGTTCTTTTAGCGCTGAATAATGGTTTTTTCTTTCTTTATGGTACAGATTACTGCTTTGATTTATATATACATGTTGGCATGTCTAGGTAGGTTTAGATCCAAAGAGGATGATTTAGTGATTTAATTCATGAAGTTCAGGTTTATAAAGTAGAGTTCATTTCAAAGCCAACCACAGTCCAATTCTTGAGGAACACAGCATACCGTCTTTTTCTGCCGACTATTTTTCTAGATGCCATCACTTAAGGGTAAAATCCAGCTATGGCTTCAGCCCAGAAATAAAATTAGGTAGTTGTGATGTAAACAAAGCTTCGCACTCTTCATCATCATCGATGGGGACTTTGGAGGTCTTCTAGTCCAACCCCCTGCTCAAGCAGGAGACCTATATCATTCTAGACAAGTGGCTGTCAGGTCTCTTCTTAAAAACTTCCAGTGTTGGAGCATTCACCGCTTCTGGAGGCAGGTAGTTCCCCTGGTTAATTGTTCTCACTGTCAGGAAGTTTCTCCTTAGTTCTAGGTTGCTTCTCTCCTTGATTAGTTTCCATCCGTTGCTTCTTGTCCGGCCTTCAGGCGCTTTGGAGAATAGCTTGACTCCCTCTTCTTTGGGGCAGCCCCTGAGATACTGGAACGCTTCTATCATGTCCCCCCTGGTCCTTCTCTTCATTAAACTAGACATCCCCAATTCCTGCAACTGTTCCTTATATGTTATATATTATCTATAATCTTCCAGTATCTCAGGGGCTGCCCCAAAGAAGAGGGAGTCAAGCTATTCTCCAAAGCGCCTGAAGGCAAAGACAAGAAGCAACGGATGGAAACTCATCAAGGAGAGAAGCAATCTAGAACTAAGGAGAAACTTCCTGACAGTTAGAACAATTAACCAGTGGAACAACCTGCCTCCAGAAGTGGTGAATGCTCCAACACTGGAAGTTTTTAAGAAGAGACTGGACAGCCATTTGCCTGAAATGGTATAGGACAGGGGTAGGCAACCTTGGCTCTTTTATGACTCGTGGACTTCAACTCCCAGAATTCCTGAGCCAGCCATGTTGAAGGGAAAGGGAGAGGTTTCCAAGCTGAGCCATGCTGGCTCAGGAATTCTGGGAGTTGAAGTCCACGAGTCATAAAACAGCCAAGGTTGCCCACCCCTGGTATAGTTTCCTGCCTGAGCAGGGGGTTGGACTAGATGACCTCCAAGGTCCCTTCTAACTTTATTATTATTATTATTATTATTATTATTATTATTATTATTATTATTATTATTATTATTATTATTATTATTATTACTACTACTACTACTACTACTACTACTACTACTACTACTACTACTACTACTACTAAAGTAGGGGTCCCTGAGCTTGCAGGCAACCCGGGTCGGCCTTGAAACCCCAACAGAGGTTTCCAAGTGGCTTCTCTACCTCGTAGATGTCCGGAATGGAGTACTTCTGGAAGTAGACCCGCAAGGTGGGGTCCCCATTCTGAAGAACGGGCATGGCGACTCCGGGGGACCCGCTGCCTACCCACCCAACCACCCACCCACGGGCAGGAACAGCTGGGAAGTCAGCCGACCACCGCCCACGCTCCCAACGGTCCTCAGGCTCTAGTGCGCCCCCCCCGCCCACGCGCGCGCGAGAGACACGCGTTGCTCCCCTCCGGCGCACGTGTGAACGCGACCAGCCACTCAAGGCGTCGGGATGGGAAGCGGGGAGGTTATTTTAGGCCAGCAGCGGGAACCCCGGTCGTCTTCATCCCCGGGGAGGGGGTGTCCAAAGCCCCCTCCTCCGCGAATTGCAAACACTAGTCGAAGGGGGGGGTCGTCCCACGGGGACCCTCGGGGTCCAACACCCCCCCCGGAGGTGGAGCCCGGCTGACCCGCCTGCCTGCAGCGGAAGGCGTAGCTTTCCCACGTGCTGCAAATCCCGTTTCCGGGAGAAACACGTGTCCTGCCTGCCATGCAAGAAGCGGGCGGCTGGAAGTGGCGGGGCGGCTTGGTGGGCTTGGCGGCGGCGGCGGCGGCGGGGGTCGCCTACGGCCTTTACCGGGCGACTTCCAGGCGGAGCGGCGGAGGAGACTCCCCCGGGTCGGGGGGCTTGGAAGGGCGGCCGGACGACCCCGCTGGAGGGGGAGAAGCCTCGGGGGCTCCCGGGCTGCCCAGCCCCGACCTTTGGGGTCCTTCGGGGGGCGTCCCGCAAGGTCAGATCCCAGCCACCTCCTTTTGCTCCTTTCCCCCCCTTTCACACGCCCAAAGGACACGTGTTATGCCTTTTGCTGGGTTCCCCGTGGGAGCTGTACGGATAGTCCTCGACTTGCGGCTACGATTGAGCCCAGTGTTTCTGCTGCTAAATGAGATGTTGCTCACCTGCCTTTTGCCCCGTTTTGCGACCTTTCTTGCCCGCCGTTGTTAAGTGAATCGCTGCCCTGGTTAAATTAGCACAGGAGTCTTCCAACTCGGCCCTTTTATGACTCGTGGACTTCAACTCCCAGAATTCCTCAGGCAGGCACGCCTGCCTGAGGAATTCTGGGAGTTGAAGTCCACGAGTCATAAAAGGGCCGAGTTGGAAGACCCCTGAGTTAGGAAGACGGTTGTTAAGTGAATCAGTCTTTCCACGCTGACTTTGCTTGTCGGAGGGTTGCTGAAGGAGATCACGTGACACCCCCCCCCCAAAAAAGGCACTGCAACCGTCATAAATGTGAACCGGTTGCCAACTCTCAGCGGTCGTTAAGGGTGAAAAGAACGGTCATAAGTCACTTTTTTTTCCAGGGTCCTGGTAACTTCAAATGGTCACTAAACGATTACCTGTAAACCTAAAACAGGGATCTTCAAACTTGGCCTTTTTATGACTGGTGGACTTCAACTCCCAGAATTCCTCAGCCAGTGTGCCTGGCTGAGGAATTCTGGGAGTTGAAGTCCACAAGTCATCAAAGGGCCAAGTTTGAAGACCCCTTGACTTGTGGACTTCAACTCCCAGAATTCCTCAGCCAGTATGGCTCAGCTTGGAAACCTCCCTTTCCCCTCAGTGTGCCTGGCTGAGGAATTCTGGGAGTTGAAGTCCACAAGTCATCAAAGGGCCAAGTTTGAAGACCCCTTGACTTGTGGACTTCAACTCCCAGAATTCCTCAGCCAGTATGGCTCAGCTTGGAAACCTCCCTTTCCCCTCAGTGTGCCTGGCTGAGGAATTCTGGGAGTTGAAGTCCACAAGTCATCAAAGGGCTAAGTTTGAAGACCCCTTGACTTGTGGACTTCAACTCCCAGAATTCCTCAGCCAGTATGGCTCAGCTTGGAAACCTCCCTTTCCCCTCAGCGTAGCTGGCTCAGGAATTCTGGGAGTTGAAGTCCACACGTCATGTAGGGGCCGTCAAGTTTGACGTCTCCTGATCTAAAGTATGGCTTGCAATTATATTACTAAATTACTGTTACTAAATTGACAAGTGCAGTGACTCCCTTAACAACTACGGCAGGGAAGGTCGTAAAATGGGACCAAAACCTCACTTAACGACGGTCTCGCTTAGCAACGGAAATTTGGGGCTCAATTGCGGTCGTAAGTTGGGGATGACCTCTATTTCTGCAGAAAAATGATATAGGTGTAATCTTTATTTTCTAATCTTAGAGGGCACCGAGCTTTCAATATCACCCCACGGCGTTCTTGAGCCACATCAGATTAAGAGTCTTCTTCATCTACTGGAGTCTACAGAAGACATTTTGCTTCAAGAACAGATCTTGGTTACTCTGAGCAACAGCGCAGCCTTCTCTGTCAATCAAGTAAGTGTTATTTTTTGTTTTCATTCCACAAGAGAAAAAGAAGTGAATGCTGTAATACAGGGTGACTTTGAAGACTTGTGGACTTCAACTCCCAGAATGCCTCAGCTGGCAGGGGTTTCCCAACATGGCGACTTTGAAGACTTGTGGACTTCAACTCCCAGAATGCCTCAGCCGGCAGGGGTCTCCCAACATGGCGACTTTGAAGACTTGTGGACTTCAACTCCCAGAATNCAACTCCCAGAATTCCTCAGCCAGTGTGCCTGGCTGAGGAATTCTGGGAGTTGAAGTCCACAAGTCATCAAAGGGCCAAGTTTGAAGACCCCTTGACTTGTGGACTTCAACTCCCAGAATTCCTCAGCCAGTATGGCTCAGCTTGGAAACCTCCCTTTCCCCTCAGTGTGCCTGGCTGAGGAATTCTGGGAGTTGAAGTTCACAAGTCATGTAGGGGCCAAGTTTGACGTCTCGTGATCTAAAGTATGGCTTGCAATTATATTACTAAATTACTGTTACTAAATTGACAAGTGCAGTGACTCCCTTAACAACTACGGCAGGGAAGGTCGTAAAATGGGACCAAAACCTCACTTAACGACGGTCTCGCTTAGCAACAGAAATTTGGGGTTCAATTGCGGTCGTAAGTTGGGGATGACCTCTATTTCTGCAGAAAAATGATATAGGTGTAATCTTTATTTTCTAATCTTAGAGGGCACCGAGCTTTCAATATCACCCCCCGGCGTTCTTGAGCCACATCAGATTAAGAGTCTTCTTCGTCTACTGGAGTCTACAGACGACATTTTGCTTCAAGAACAGATCTTGGTTACCCTGAGCAACAGCGCAGCCTTCTCTGTCAATCAAGTAAGTGTTGTTTTTGGTTTTCATTCCACAAGAGAAAAAGAAGTGAATGCTGTAATACAAGGTGACTTTGAAGACTTGTGGACTTCAACTCCCAGAATTCCTCAGCCAGCAGGGGTCTCCAAACATGGTGACTTTGAAGACTCGTGGACTTCAACTCCCAGAATGCCTCAGCCAGCAGGGGTCTCCCAACATGGTGACTTTGAAGACTCGTGGACTTCAACTCCCAGAATTCCTCAGCCGGCAGGGGTCTCCAAACATGGCGACTTTGAAGACTCGTGGACTTCAACTCCCAGAATCCTCAGCCGGCAGGGGTCTCCAAACATGGCGACTTTGAAGACTCATGGACTTCAACTCCCAGAATTCCTCAGCCGGCAGGGGTCTCCCAACATGGCGACTTTGAAGACTTGTGGACTTCAACTCCCAGAATTCCTCAGCCGGCAGGGGTCTCCCAACATGGCGACTTTGAAGACTTGTGGACTTCAACTCCCAGAATGCCTCAGCCGGCAGGGGTCTCCAAACATGGCGACTTTGAAGACTCGTGGACTTCAACTCCCAGAATTCCTCAGCCGGCAGGGGTCTCCCAACATGGCGACTTTGAAGACTTGTGGACTTCAACTCCCAGAATGCCTCATTCAGGCTGGCTTATTTCAAAATGTTCATATGATCAAAATGATCATGAAGTAAAGCTTAATACAGGATTTGGATTTATATAGATGAAATGTTATTGATGATTGTTTTGATTGATTCAACTTTATTGAAAAATACATTAATTTGAATATAATATATATATTTGAGGGAATAGAGAGGGAGTTTTTAATGATTTAATCTGAATTACATATGTATGATTTTGCTTTTAGACAATTGATTACCCTGTCACCACGTTGTTTCTCAAGCACTTGTTTGTAAAAAGAAAAAAAACAATAAAACTTGTTGGTTTTTTTTTAAAAAAAAGATCGTGTGATCATATCATCAAAATGATCGTGTGATCAAATGATCGTGTCATCATGTTTTCCCTCCTTTGCATTATTAACCTTTAAACTTTATTTTTCAAATAACCCAGCTGTTAAGAACAGTCACTTTTATAAATCACAGAGAAGTGTAGTGGACGTGAGCCAGTTCCCATCCTTTAAATGAGGTTTTTTTTTTGAACTTTAGGAATTAAGATGGTTTTATACGATATTTTTCTATGTATTTAATTTGTAGGATATCATTCGGAATCTAGGTGGCCTGTCTCTGATTGGAAAAATGCTTTCAGTTCCCACCACCAATGTTAAACAGAAGGCACTTAATGCACTGAATAATCTGAGTATGAATACTAAAAATCAAGAGGAACTAAAGGTAAGCTTAAAATAACACCGCATAAGGAAAATGCATAAGAACAAAGTTTCTAAAGTACTTAATGCAGTGGGATTACTGTGTGATATTGATCAGTTGAATATTATTTAGCATAGTCATTTTTTAAAAAATAAATTATAAACCCCCTTTCCGTTTACAACACTTAGGAGACTTATTATGGGAGTTAAAAGAGTTATCCTCAGGGCACGGTGACCTCAAAAAGGTGCGTGTGAATGAAGGCAAGACAAGAAACAATGGATGGAAACTAATCAAGAAGAGAAGCAATATGTAATTAAGGAGAAACTTCCTAACTGTGAGGACAATTAGCCAGTGGAACAGCTGGCCACCAGAAGTTGTGGGTGCTCCAACATTGGAGGTTTTAAAGAAGAGACTAGACAACCATTTGTCTGAAATGGTACAGGGTCTCCTTCCTGAGCAGGGGGTTGGACTAGAAGACCTCCAAGGTCCCTTCCATAACTCTTGATATTCTGTATAAGGTTCTCATCTTGCACTTTTCTGATCAATTTTATCAGGCTTTTAGCTGACTGAAATACAGATGAGGTTTTATGGGTGGTGATTAACTGAGTCATATTTCTTTACCCTCCTTAAATAGAGGGATGATTAAAGTGAAACCCCAGTCATTAGGTATGCAAGCTGATGGTTATTAATGTAAAGTTAAGAATAAACGTAACAAATATCAAAATACGAAAACAATTTTAAAACCACCGGCGATAGCCAAAATGTCAGCAAGATAAAAAATAGGCGTTTGTGAGGACCGGTTGCTGGCATGCCGCAGCCCGGTACCGGTCCACGGACAGGGATTGGGGACCCCTGTTCTACGCTCTGGCCGACCTCCGTGGCTTTGTGGTAATATATTGGTAAACCTATTTCTGTGTGTGTGTTCTATCCCTTAGATCTATATTACCAAGGTGTGCGAGGAAGTGGACACATCTCCTGTAAATTCTGAATTGCAGCTAGCCGCCCTTCGGTTCTTAACCAACATTTCCGTGACAAACGACTATCATTACAGGATGACCAGCTTCATACCCAGTTTTCTGACGTTGCTGTTTGAAGGAAATGAAAGGACTCAGGTATAACGGTCAGCTGTTTTATCGTTAAAAAGAAGAAGGAAATCTTTCATAAATAATAATAAACCCTTTATTATCAAAGTATAACATGTATACAGTGAAATTGGCTGAGCCTCCCTCTGTGCCCCTCCTCACCACAAACTCACGGTGTGAGTTTCAGGGTCATGCTTGAAATTACTCTGGAAACTAAATACAGGTAGTCCTCGACTTAACGGCCACAATTCAGCCCCAGATTTCCGTCGCTAAGCAAGACGTGTGTTAAGTGAGCTTTGCCCCATTTTACGAATTTTCTTGCGCTCGCGAAGTGAATTTGCTGCGGTTGTTTAAGTTAGTAACCCGGTTGTTAAGTGAATCTGACTTCCCCCGCTGACTTTGCTTGTCAGAAGGTCACAAAAGTGGATCACGTGACACACACACACCCCGGGACACTGCGACCGTCGTAAATGTGAGTCGGTTGCCGAGCGGCTGAATTTTTATTTTTTTTAAAATTTATTGATTTTTCAGTTTTAGATTTAAATATCTGAAAAACAACCTGGCGGCTGGGTTGGTTGATAATTCAATAACATACAAATTTCTTTAGTACAGATCACAAACTATTACATTGAATATTTCCTCTCTTTCCCCCTTGGGATTTACTGTCTCACATTTGAATTAATAGAATTCTTATTATATCCATTTAATACAAATAGCTTTCTTACATTTATCGATAATTTTTTAGTTTATACCTATCTTATAGTCATTTTAACATTCAATCTTTTTAGACAGTCAATGTCCTGGTAAGTTTTTTCCCCAATACTTTAATACTTCCAGGGAGTATTAAATGTTGAAATAAGAGAAATTTCGGTTATTAAATTTAAGATATTTGGAAATTACCGGAAAATAAGAATATTCTATTGTATTGTTAACCAGCTGATGTAAGATCCAGGGATGAATTGTGATAAAGGGAACTGGGGTTATTTAAAATTTGGAAACTTATTAAACGTTAAATTTAAGTATTTATGGGAAACTAAAAATTGGGAAAACATACGAGCGGCTGAATTGTGACTACGGGAATGCTGCAACGGTTGTCGGTGTGAAAAATGGCTGTAACTCGCTTTTTTCCGTGCCGTTGTAACTTTGGATGGTCACTAAATGAACTGTTGTAAGTCAAGAACTACCTGTAGTAAGACTGCAAATGAAATCACATTGATCTACAGCCAAAATAGGGACATCAGATGTTTTCCATTATAATTCTTAATAGCCTTGGCAATCAAAGCTAATGATAAGGATTATGGGAATTGCACTATAATATTTCTGGTATGCCTGTTTCTTTTCCACCACATGGAATAAGTGTTAAAAATGACAACGGAGTGTAACTATTTGACCTTTCCAAACTTAAATACAATCTTAGTCCAATATATTGGTAAGTCGTTTAAATTGGTAAGTCGTTTAAACCTGAAGACAGGAGATCTTTGACTTTAGTCTCAAAAATTTTTCTTGCTGAGCAAGGCAGCGGTTAAGGGAATTTTGCTCCGTTTTACAACTTTTTTTGCCGCCGTTGTGATGCGAATCGCAACAGTTGTTAAATTGCACCACAAACTTCCTAAACACGAGTCGGTCGCCAAGCGGCTGAATTTTGATCAGGTGACCGTCAGGTCGTAAGTGTGAAAAACGGTCGTGTCGCTTTTTTCTAGCCCTGTTGTAACTTTGACTGGTCGCTAAAATGGATCATTGTTAAGTTGAGGACTATCTGTGCCCATTCGTTCGATGCCGTCCAGGCCAGCCGTGTTCTAAACTATCTATTCCCTTTAAATCTTAGCTGTCAATCAAAGGTGCTTCTGTCTCCTATTAATTTGATAGGCAAATCAGAGAGTTTCCTTATCAATGTTACAGGTTCAAGTCCTAAAAGTGCTCGTGAACCTATCGGCCAACCCAGCTATGGCAGAACCTCTGCTTAATTCACAGGTAAAGCTATTTTTATCCTTTGCTTCCTTCTTCTTTGACTTCCCCCCCCTCACTCATTTATTTATTTTATTTCTTACTAGCTGTACCCGGCCACGCGTTGCCTTGGCTCGGTCTGGTTAAATGGAAAAGAAATATGTAATAGGTTTAATTTCACAATGCTAGCGTGTGTTGCTTTTATGTCCAACAGATGGCGCTGTTTTTCAAACAAAAGCATGTTTTTACCTGTCACAGGTGTGACATCTATATAATAGTAGGTATATAAAAACACGCGCATATTCGAATGCAACCTTGTGTCAAAATTTCAAAGCAATCGGTGAAGAACTTTCGGAGATTTAAGATTTTGAACAAACGAACATTTACATTTTTATTTATATAGATGCTATGAATTCCTGCTGATTTTGAAGGAAAACGCTTGGCCCTACATGGCCAAGCCATTGAAACCTATATGCACCAATAATAATAATAATAACAACAACAACAACGTTGGAAGGAACCTTGGAGGTCATCTAGTCCAACCCCCTGCTCAGGCAGGAAACCCTATACCTATACCATTATTGTTGTAAGCTTTAGTTACAAGCGCTTGTCTGTTTTAAGGGCATTATAACTTTAGGAGTAACAGTAGCACTTAGACTTACATACCACTTCACAGTGCTTTACAATCCTCTCTAAGGGGTTTACAGAGTCAGCATCTTCTCCCCCAACGCTCTGGGTCCTCATTTTACTGACCTTGGAAGGACAGAAGGCTGAGTCAAGCTTCAGCCGGCCAGGATCGAACTCCTGGCAGTGGGCAGAGTCAGCCTACAATACTGCATTCTCTGTATTCTATATTCTGCAATCCAGAGATTTTATTTTTTTTTGAGGTATAATGAATAAACCGATGCATTTCCAGGAATTATGCTCCCTGGTGCGACTCAACGTATAATTGTCTATGAAGCCATTGGGATCGTTCAAAGCAGTGCTAGGCTGCATTAACAGAGGGATAGAATCAAGATCACGTGAAGTGTTAATACCACTTTACAAGGCCTCGGTAAGGCCACACTTGGAATACGGCATCCAGTTTTGGTCACCACGGTGTAAAAAAGATGCTGAGACTCTAGAAAGAGTACAGAGAAGAACAACAAAGATGATTAGGGGACTGGAGGCTAAAGCATATAAGGAATGGCTGCTGGAATTGGGGATGTCTAGTCTAACGAAGAGAAGGACGAGGGGGGACATGATAGCCGTGTTCTAGTATCTCAGGGGCTGCCCCAAAGAAGAGGGAGTCAAGCTATTCTCCAAAGCCCCTGAAGGCAGGACAAGAAGCAACGGATGGAAACTCATCAAGGAGAGAAGCAACCTAGAACTAAGGAGAAACTTCCTGACAGTGAGAACAATTAACCAGTGGAACAACCTGCCTCCAGAAGGGGTGAATGCTCCAACACTGGAAGTCTTTAAGAAGAGACTGGACAGCCATTTGTCTGAAATAGTATAGGGTTACTTGCCTGAGCAGGGGGTTAAACTAGATGACCTCCAAGGTCCCTTCCAACTTTATTATTATTATTATTATTATTATTATTATTATTATTATTATTTATTTATTTATTATTTATTTATTTATTTATTATTTATTATTATCTACTCAGCGTGAACTTTGTTAAATCAATACATTCGGGCGAATAAATAAATTCACACTCTTTCTTTAAACTTAAATTTAAAACGAACGTGAATTACAATTTTTTCCCCCCATGTCTTTCCAGGCACCTCTTCTCTTATCTCTGTTTGACAGCTGCATAAACAAAGACATTTTGCTCAGGGTCCTTGCATTTTCCACCAACCTGACCAGGTCCATGAAAAATGACAAGGGCTGTGCTATCCAGAATCGGTACAATGAAGATTCCATTTTTTCTACTCTCTCCGGCAATTCTCTGTATACTCAGAAGCTGGCGTCCCTGCTACATCATTACGATGCAGAAGTCAAAGAACAAGTTGCAAAGCTAATAACGCAGCAGCGCTGAACTCAAGAGGTCAGCCTCAATTATTCCATCTCCAAAATCCTGAACAGCATAAAAAGTATATAAATGACGGCCTCCCATAGCTATTTTATCGACCTGTGTAAAGTTTCCTCATTTCTAACGGGGGAACTGTATCCATCCTGGACATTTCCTTCAGCATCTAATGATACTGCCCTCATCTCTGGAAGTAAAAAATAATAATAACAATAAAAAAGTCCGTGAAGGATCAGTACATGGACCCTGAAATAATCTGGAATTTCAAGACAACCTTTGTGATCTTGAGCTGCGAGTCTTATCCATCTAAGCCAGGTGTCTCCAATCTTGGCCACTTGGAAGACTTGTGGACTTCGACTCCCAGAATTCCTCAGCCAGTCGTACTGCTTTGGGAATTCTGGGAGTTGAAGTCCACGAGTCTTCCAATTTGCCAAATCTGGAGAACCCTGATCTAAGCTGTCATAGTCACTTCTGGGCAGGGCCCAGGGGTGGCACATATAACACTACTGTTGCATGTGCTTCATTGGTCACCGCTTTGCTTCTGGGTCCAATTCAGGGTCTTGACTTAAAGTCCTACATGACACGGGTCCAAGCAACCACAACCTGCCTTCCGAAGTTGTGGGTGCTTCATCGCTGGAGGCTTTTAAGAAGAAACCGGACAGCCATTTGTCTTGAGATGATATGAAGTCTCCTTGCTTGAGTAGGGGACTGGACTAGAAGACCTTCAAGGTCCCTTCCAGTTCTGTTATTCTGTGTTCTGTATCTGAGGAGCCAATTGGTCTAGCCCAGGGGTAGGCAACCATGGCTCTTTTATGACTCGTGGACTTCGACTCCCAGAATTCCTCAGCCAGCATGGCTCAGCTTGGAAACCTCTCCCTTTCCCCTCAGCGTGGCTGGCTCAGGAATTCTGGGAGTTGAAGTCCACGAGTCATAAAAGAGCCAAGGTTACCTAGTCTAGCCTGTCCAACTTGCTTCACCAGAAGGGGCTTCCTTCAGACCTCATCCCCTAAGGAATTCCGGCAGGTGGGTTCAAGGAGAAGATCCCGGGACCCTGCGACCGTCATAAATAGGAGCCAGTTGCCAAACATCCAAATTTTGATCACGTGACTCTGGGGGATGCTGCAACTGGTGTGAAATGTCAAAGTAATGATCTAACACATAACCAGCTTATGCAAGATGTAATGATGGGAATGACTCAGCAGGGTCTGTGTCCCTTTAAGAGCCTTTTTATAAAAGAGAAGGCTCTGCTGATGTATTCTCTTCTGTTTCCTGCTGTAACTGTGGTTTGTTGGATCCTGCTGTATTAACACGTGTATGTATATTGTTCCCGGTGTATGATATTGTAGATAGTGTAAGATAAACCACCATTTAATATGGACCACTGTTGACTGTGTTTACTCTTGGGTTATCTCAGCGCAATAAGACTGCACGCTCTGACATGAAATACTGTCAGAAGTTACCTCTTTTCAGCGTCGTTATAACTTTGAACCGTCACTAAACGAACTGCTGTGAAGTTGAGCTCTATCTGCAGCGGTTTCTGATTTAGATTTTCCCTACAGCAACCACACTCTTGGGCTGAAAAACAAACAAACCAGGATTGGGATAAACTGGCCCTGCCATTTTTCATCCCCAGTGGAGGATTCGAACTCGGAACTCCGTTTTTAATCCAACACCTTAAGACCTATCTCAAACAATCTGTTGGGTTAATAATGACAACATGTTAAGAACGTTCTGGGGGCAAGAATTTATTGTCAAAGTAGCAGGTTCACACACAAGCCCGTTTGCTCATATTTTTTAACGCCGAACTAATTCATCCATCAGTGATTTCAGTTTGGTAAGGAACCCACACGTGTTATTTTCACGTCGTGTTGTTAAAATTACTGGTTTTTGGACTTCACAGTTGCCGTAAGGAAAGAAGCACCAACAAAATGAGCTGGAGTAAAGACTTTGGAGAAACCAAAAAATGCTTTTGTCACATCTGCCAATCGTATTCTCAAACGACGGAAATCTTTGGGTGAGGATAACAAGCAATTAAGCAGCGACAGCGCAATGCAAACACACGTTTGGGCCAGCAGCACAAATAAATACCAGGCATTTTTCACGTCAGAACTCTCGAAAAGGCACGTTTCAGTGGATAACTTCAAAAAACAAAGCTTCCATGTTTGCAAGTAAAGGTGTGCAAGCATTCAGTAAAAGATCTGGATTTCCCTTAAACAGCAACTATGTTGGGAGACTCATTCCAAAGCCTACAATTCAACAACTCTGAAGGCATCAGGCGCAACCTCTGGGCGAGAACTTTGCTCAACGGTATTTGGGGCGTACGTGAAACTTCTAAAATATTGTCATGTTAGTATTCATATTTTTTTTAAAAAAACCAGCCACGCTGTAAGAATGTACGTTCAAAGAAACGAACATGGCTAAATTGGCAATCCTAAACGCCCTCCAGCCTGCTTTAATGTTGGCTTTGTGGCTGGATAAACAAGCGTACAAAACGATGGATCGGAGTGAAGTCTTTGAATCATCATCACAGCTAACCCAAAATTCAGATTTCAGCAGGCCGGGAAATGTTTCCGATTCGTGTATAAATCCAGCACCCAGTTCTAAATACAAAGGTGTCATTTTGGGTAGCCTTAAATTTTTATCCCAATAGCTTCACTCACCTCTCTTTTGTTCCCCTCTTGATTAGTTAATGAGTGGGAGATACCTGCGCCAGGTAAGTCTCATCAGCATTGATCTGCACACAGTCAGTTTGCATATTAATGGCCGGGTTAAAATTTACATTCCATCTTTTTGCATGCAACCAAGCCCTGTCAAGGATTGAACACATGCTGTTAAGAGTTTCTGGATGGGAATAAATTCTCAGCAGTTCTTTTGTACCTTTTCCAGGGCAAATGATTACAATTGTACAAAGGTTAACTTCCCTGTTTACTTAAAACTTATTTGTAGCCCAGTTAATGCTCTCCACAGTTAATTCGTTCATCAAAAATCATGTTACAAAGTCGATAATGCAAGATTTTAAAAGTGGTTAGAATTAAACACGCCGGAGATCATCAAAAGCCTATCTAATTTTTGTTTTACAAAAAATATTCACTCTTACTTTTTTTTTTCCCCGCCCCCAGTTACGGTTAATAAGAATTTTTTTTTTTCTGCTTCTATTCAAATCCGTCATCGTTAATATTTAAATCTCGCGACTCTCCATGGTTCAGAACAAAGAAATCTTCCGTTTGCAATCCATATCTTTCAAGAGCTTCTTTCAGTTTAACAGGTGGCTCTAAGTAGTACTGCGAAGAAAAACAGGAAATGCCAGATTAGACATAAATTAAGTTCTCAACATTAAGAAAACCAAGATCACGGCATCCGGCCCTCTCAATTCCTGGCAAATAGATGGGGAAGAAATGGAGGCCGTGACAGATTTTATCTTCCTGGGCTCCAAGATGGGGACTGCAGCCAAGAAATTAGAAGACGCTTGCTCCCGGGGAGGAAAGCTATGGCAAATCTAGACAGCATACTAAAAAGCAGAGACATCACCCTGCCAACAAAAGTATATATAGTCAAGGCCATGGTTTTCCCAGTTGCAATGTATGGCTGTGAAAGTTGGACCATAAGAAAGGCTGAGCGCCAAAGAATGGAGGCCTTTGAACTCTGGTGCTGGAGAAGACTCCTGCGAGTCCCCTGGACTGCAAGGCGATCCAACCGGTCAGTCCTAGAGGAGATCAACCCCGACTGCTCTTTAGAAGGCCAGATCCTGAAGTTGAAACTCAAGGACTTTGGCCACCTAAAGAGAAGGAAGGACTCCCTGGAGAAGAGCCTGATGCTGGGAAAGATGGAGGGCAAGAGAAGAAGGAAACGACAGAGAATGAGGTGGCTGGAGGGAGTCACTGAAGCAGGAGGCGTGAGCTTAAATGGACTCCAGAAGATGGCAGAGGACAGGAAGGCCTGGAGGAACATTGTCCATGGGGTCGCAATGGGTCAGACACGACTTTACAATTAACAATAAAATTCTGTGTGGAATATAGTAACTATGTACTCGAAATCAAATTAAATGTCTATGGAGATTCTCAGTCATCCAGGTCAAGGTTTTCCCAAAGGTGCTTTTTTCACAAGGCAACTGGACTTTCTTGTGTTTCTTTTGAAGACGTTTCGCTTCTCATCCAAGAAGCTTCTTCAGTTCTGTCGTAAGGTCTGTCAGAAATCAGAACTGCACAAACCAAGTTCAACCTTGCTTACCTATATTGATGATCTGGCAAGCACTGATACGGATAGAGAACACCTTAGAATATAGAAGATCATCAGAGCTGGAAGGGACCTTGGAGGTCTTCTAGTCCAACCCCTGCTCAAGCAGGAGACCCTATGCCAGGGGTAGGCAACCTTGGCCCTTTTATGACTCGTGGACTTCAACTCCCAGAATTCCTGAGCCAGCCACGCTGAGGGGAAAGGGAGAGGTTTCCAAGCTGAGCCATGCTGGCTCAGGAATTCTGGGAGTTGAAGTCCATGAGTCATGAAGGGGCCATAGTTCCCCATTCTGGCTGAGGAATTCTGGGAGTTGAAGTCCACGAGTCTTAAAGTTGCCAAGGTTGAGGAGCCCTGATATAGGGCAGGGGTGGGGAACCTTGGTTCTTTTATGACTCGTGGACTTCAACTCCCAGAATTCCTGAGCCAGCCATGCTGAGGGGAAAGGGAGAGATTTCCAAGCTGAGCCACGCTGGCTCAGGAATTCTGGGAGTTGAAGTCCACGAGTCATAAAAGAGCCAAGGTTGCCTACCCCTGCCCTATACTATTTCAGACAAACGTGTTCTTGATACATCGCATAATATCAGTCAGAAAATGTCCATACTCTAGTCATCTAGAAAGTTAGCACTGTAGATTGTATTATTGCTGAATTTGTCACGACCTTGGTGGTCTAGAGCAGGGGTCCCCAACCCCTGGTCTGTGGACCGGTACCGGGCCACAGCACGCCAGCAACCGGTCCGCACAAACAAGCAAAGCCCCATCCGTGGGATGCACGCAGCACATAAAAGCACGTACTCTCCGGTCCACGGAAAAACCTTTCTCCACAGAACCGGTCCCTGGTGCCCAAAAGATTGGGGACCTCTGATCTAGAGACTTAATTTTAGTACCTACTCATTTACCTAAAATGAATGATCAAACCAACTCAACAGAATTAAAAATGGCTTGCATCCACAAACCAATGAATGCAGTGACTCAGTCTTAAAATGACAACGCAGCACATTTCAAGACTTGTTGATCCGACAACTGTGTCAGCATCATTTTTTTAAAATATGTTTTATTTATTTTTTTTACATATCACCATCAATATTTGGTAAACAGAGTGTTGTCTGGGTTTGTATTTACCAATAATCAATGTTAGTTTCTATAGTTCTATATTCCACACAATAGCTTTCCTTAATTTTCGTTTCTCCCAATAATATTCTCTTTTATCAACCTTAAATTAGCACACTTCTTGATAGTTTTAGAAGATAACGATTAAATATCTACGAATATCCTCCACCTCATCACTAAGCTTCTTTTCTAATTAATCATCTAGGTCAGCTTATCATACATCCTGTTTTTAGAGTTCTCATTTAAATTTATTTTCCCCTCAATATTCAAGTTTTACCTGTTAACATTTTCTTAAAGTTAATTACACTTATACATTGAAGTCTTTTTCCTCCTACGAATCATCCCAACACTTACATTTCTGTTTCATTTTACCCGAAATGGCTCATTTCCATTATATTTTTTGCCATGTGACCATTTTTTAAAATATTACGGTCAGCCGCCTTGCATTCTAAATCCTTTTTTTTTTTCTGGAAGCAGTTCAAAAAGAGGAAAGGGCGCAAACATCCACGATGGGACAAACTAAGGAGATTATCTTTGCGAGTAATGTTCAAATGGGGGGGGCACGATGGCTCAGTGGTTAAAGACACTGAGCTTGTCAGCTGGAAAGCTGATGTTGAGGTTTGAGACCCCAGCGCCATGGGATGGGGTGAGCTCCCGTCCCTTGCTCCAGCTCCTGGTCACCCAGCCGTTTGAAAGCATGCAAACGCGAGTAGATAAATAGGTACCACTTTGGTGGGAAGTAGATAAATAGGCAGGGCTTTTTTTCAGCCGGAACGCGGCGGAACCGCGTTCCGGCACCTTTTTCCGGGCCGGCCGCACCGGAAATAGCCCCTCCCGCACCGGAAATAGCCCCTCCCAAATTTTACTTGCATTCCTGTTCTCTAAAGGGGCGGTCCTAGGGTTTGATGAGGGCGTGGCCAGGTTTGAGTTCCGCCACCTTTTCNTTGTATCAATAAAGGTCCTGGTTATTTGCGCCTGATGTTAATCTCCTGCTCTTCTACACTGGCACTGATAGATAGTCCTCAATTACATCTATTCTTTAATAAATGTCTGTGGAGATTCTCAGTCCTCCAGGTAAGTCCTGGTTGTCCCAAAGGTGCTTTTTCAGGAGGCAACTGGACTTTCTTGTTTTTCTTTGAAGACGTTTTGCTTCTCATCCCAGAAGCTTCTTCAGCTCTGGCTGGACGGTGGGGAATGGAAGGATTTATACTCCTTGCAGACAGCTGGTCATTTGCATCCTTTTAGAGGGTCGTTGAGGCCACTTGGAGACTCACCTGTGTCCTGAAGGTCACCTGAGTGGTGCAAATGGGTGTGGAGCCTTCTTGGCTGCAGGACACAGGGCAGAAAACATCCTGTAGCCAAGGTTTCAGAGCCTCAGGTGACTCTGAGGACACAGGCAAACCTCCAAGTGGCCTCAACGACCCTCTAAAAGAATGCAAATGACCAGCAATCTGCAAGGAATATAAATCCGGTCAGAGCTGAAGAAGCTTCTGGGATGAGAAGCGAAACATCTTCAAAGAAAAACAAGGAAGTCCAGTTGCCTGCTGGGACATTCTTTAGCAAGCGTTCGAAGTTACAACGACACTGAAAAAAAGTGCCTTATGACCACTTTTTTCACACTTATGACCACTGCAGCGTCCCCATGATCATAATTTGGGTGCTTAGCAATTGGCGGCTATTTATGGCGGCGGCAGCATCCCGGCGTCATGTGATGATCACGTTTGACTTTCCCAGCCGGTTTCCAACACGCAAAATCAATGGGGGGGGGGGGGGAGGGGAAGCCAGATTCGCTGAACAACCACACAACTGTGCAATTCACTTAACAACTCTGGCAAAAAAGGTCCTAAAACGGGGCACGGCTCATTGAACATCTGTCCGGGCTTAGCCAGGGAAATCCGTTGTGGGTCACTGAGGACCACCTGCCTCTACAAAACATCAGTAGGCTTATCGTTTGCCCTCCGTGCCTTACGCCAAGGCTTTTCAACCAGTGGTACGGGTACCACCTGTGGTACCTTGGCACCTGGCAGGTGGTAGGCGACCATCCTAGAAAAGTGGTAGCGGGGGAGGGGAATGAGCTGAACCGGTGGCAGCACCGCACAAGCCTGAGCGAGAGATGGCTGGAGCTGCAGGGCTGTCAGGGCTCAGCGGAAGCGCCAGGATCAGCTCCAGTCTCAAGCTGGAGCTCAGCGCTGATCCTGGCGCTTCTGCTGAGCCCAGAAGTGCCGATCAGCTGGAATGTTGCAGCCTCTCCAGGGTCTTCTGATTTACATTCAGATGCTTGGCAACTGATTCATATTTATGACGGTCACAGTGTCCCAGGGTCATGTGAAGTGACCAAAACCTGCTGCAACCACCCAGCAGATGGGGGGGAATAAAAACCAAACACCCCCCCCACCGCACCCCTGCTGCCAATCCTCAACAGAAAAGCTCACAACAATGGAAACCTCGGACAGGAGGAAGAGCGCCACTGGGTGGGCAGACAGGTGTCTTGCTCGGCTGTGGCTTGGGGGGCACTTTTTTCAGTGCCACTGTAACTTCGAACAGTCACTAAGCGAACTGTTGTAAGTCGAGGACTACCTGTATTTCATCAATTTTTTTCCTTTTTGGGGGGGGGTCATCAAGTTTTTGATACCTTGCTAGGCGACTGGTGGTACTTGGATGTTGCCATATCCTGAAAGTGGTACAATGGGTGAAAAGGTTGAAAAGCCCTGCCTTACGCTCTCCCACCTTGGTTCGTAGGCGCCGATGGGAATCGCTGCCAAATCGAACGGCCCGAACCGTTTCCCAATTTCCTCGAAGGCGACGCAATAACCGGTGTCTCCGGCGAAAAAGAACCGGTTCCAGGGACCCAGAACAGACCAGCTCCCCCAGAGAACTTTGTTTTCATCTCTGGCAGTCCTTCTGCACCAGTGTTGAGCGGGCGTGAAAACAAAGGTGACGGCGTCGTGGCCCGGAATGCAATTTTCTCCCCACCAGTCCAGTTCGATGACATTCTCGCAGCCACAACTCTGCATCCAGTCCAACAGGCCCAGCGGCACGAACCATCTGAGTTCACTGCCAAAGCGTGCGTTCAAACCCAGGACGGTGGAGTAATCCAGGTGGTCGTAATGGTTATGGCTGATCAAAACGGCGTCTATTTTGGGCAGTTGGTCGATGGTGCACGGAGGACCCCGGAAACGTTTAGAGCCCATAAACTGCACCGGGGAAGCCCGTTGGCTGAAGATGGGATCAGTAAGAAAGGTCACGTCATCCATTTCGACCATCACCGAGGCGTGTCCGAGCCACGTGACTCGCAAACCACTTCCGGTCTTCCCGAACCGTTCAGGGTTTTGGACAAAATAAGGGGTTAACACCGGAAGGTGCATGTCAAGGACCTAGCAAGGGAAAAAAGAGAAAAGGCAACGTCAGAAAACAGGTCCTATTTACAAACGACAACTATTGTACATCTTCAATCAATCAATCAGAATAAAGCTGGAAGGGACCTTGGGGGTCTTCTAGTCCAACCCCCTGCTCAAGCAGGAGATGCTATAACATTTCAGATAGGGGGTTATCCAGTCTTTTCTTAAAATCTTCCAGCGATGGGGCAGCCACAACTTCTGGTGGCAAGCAGTTCCACTGGTTGATTGTCCTCACTGTCAGGGAGTTTCTCCTTAGTTCCAGGTTGCTTCTCTCCTTGATTAGTTTCCATCCATTGTTTCTTGTTTCTTGGAAAATAAGTTGACCCCCCTCGTCTTTGTAGCAGCCCCTCAAATACCGCAATACTCTTAATCCTTTAATAGCTTTACTCTGCCTTGGTACAGTATTAGCTCAGCTGCAGAAGTGTGTCAGTGTACACCTACAACAACCCAGCTTGAGTGTAAGGCCAGCAGCAGATGCTCCAAAGCTGGGACCATTAACAAACTGATCACAAAAACAATCATTTGCAGGAAATGGGCAGATTGCCACGTTTATGTGTACCAACAAAACTCCGTGGAAAAACATCTGATTTAATTTAGGACACAAAGGAAGGAAAAAAGACAAGCAACCGGGGGGGGGGGG